GGGGAAAAAAATGAGGACCTGATGCTGGGGGCTTAAGTGGAGAGCAAATGTTTTGAGAATGACGAGGGCAATGAATGTACAAATGTGCTTTACACAAGTGATATATGTATGGATTGTGATAAGAGTCGTATGAGCGCCTAATAAAACGATTAAAAAACAAACAAACCAAACACCAAACCTCACTGCCACTAAGTCCGTTCTGCCTCACTGAGACCCCATGGGCCAGGGTCCAACCCCATGGGGCAGGTTTTCCCAGACTGGAACTCTTACAAGGAGCAGACAGCCTCATCCTGGTCCCTAGGAGGAGCTGGGGGTTTCTAACTGCTGACCTTGCAGCCCAAAGCACAACCATTCGAAGCCCATCCAAAAGAAGGGGACATGAGGAAAGGGCTGAAACGGGCAGTGGCTTGAAGGGTGTTCAAAAGGCGGATCCTCTTACTCTGCTGGGGAGGAGACAGCACACCACAGCGACACCCAGAAGGGGCAGGGGCCAGGCCCCTGTCTTGCCTGATTCGAATGAGAGCGTTAGTCCAATTCCTGGCAACAGTTTGAGGGGTGTACTAGAAATTCAGGAGGAGGTCCCTGAACAGGGATGGTCAAACGACTGCGGGGGACCAGAGAAATATGGTAGCACTTAGTGCTGAGCATCAGGAGGACAGAGGCTGGCACTCTCTGAAGCTCATGCAAGGTGACTTTCATTCACCCGCCCTCAGTCACGGCAACTTTTGGTTGGCAGTTAGTAGGAACCGGGCATCAAAGTCCTTACTGGGCGCTGCTGGGTGGGTCTCCACTCTCGTGGTGGGATAGAACTGCCCAGGTAGGGTCGCTAGGGGTCGGAAGGGACTCGACTCGATGGCAGTGAGTTTGCTTTTCATTTTTACCGGGCGCAGATCGCCAGGCCTTTCTCCCGCGAATTGGGGGTTGAGGGATTCGAAAGGCTCAAAGGGAGCCCTTAATTAAGCACTTTTGATGTACTGGGTCTGTTCGTTCTCCCCACGCCCGGCGAGGGCCGTCCCACAGCTACGCCCCTTTCGAAGGACGTGAACGGTCCCAGACCGGTAGTCCAAGTGATTCCCAAGTGACCACAGCCTCGGCCGGGCCACAGAAGGTGACCAGTGCGAAGCGAAGACAAGTCCTTGGGTACAAGAACTTTGCACACGCTGCTCCAAGACTCGGGGCGCGCGCAACCTAACTCGGGGCCACCGACGCGCTGAATGACCTTGGCTGAGCCAGTCTCGTCCCGCCTCGGAGCATCCGTTTCCGGCTGCTCAGGTCAGCCACCCGCGGCTCCGAGGCCATCATTTTTTGCAGCGCGGCCGCATCCTCCGCGGGCCTGCGGGCCCCGCCACCTCCTCACCAGGGACGCCCGCGCACAGCCCCGAGAGCGTCCGCCCGTAGGCCCGCCCCCCTCGAACCACACAGCCCAGGGTCACTGGGCCTCTTACCCGGGCGTGTACTGTCCCCATGCTTCCCTCCGGCCGCCAACCCTCAGAGCACCAGGCGGGCGCGGGCAGTGGGCGGGCCCGCGGCGGCCGCTCCCACAAGCCTCCAGCCGCGGCGCACTGGAGGCTAGCAGGAGGCCCCGCCCCCGCCCCGCCCCTGCGTCCAGGCCGCCTCCGCTCATTGGTCCCGATGAGCCTGTGACCTACGTCTTGATACGAGCGCCGGAAGCCCTGCGGTCCAGAGATGCGCAAGCGCAGAGCGTCCAATGACGCCTGTGGAGCTATTGGCAGCTGGATCTCGGAGCTGCATTACGGGCCCGGCGCTCTGAGACGCGGCTGGGAGAAATCAAACCACCCTTCTCGTGTTCTCGGCCTTACACAACCCTCTGCCTTCACCTGCTTGGCACCGAGACCGGGCGAGTGCCTTCTCGCCACACCCAGCCCGCGGCAGTGCATCTGACTGCCAGCTTCCCGAGCCGCAGGAATCCGGGGTCGGACTGCGGGTCG